TCTCTGAAATACTGAAACTATACAACATAGCACTGTACTCAGACAAACCATTTCTGAATCTAGCTGATGAAGTTAGAATTATGGCACCATACTTTATCCTTGTAACTATTCATTGCTGCTGCTCTTGTGGAAACTACCATCTCTACTGCACTGGCAGAGGAATTAACTACACAAAGGGATCTTGGTCACACAACAAAGGTCAGACAACTGCCAATGACAGCGTTCCCAACTAGTTTACCTTGGAGACCATCAGAAATGCTCAAACAAGTCTGCCGCACCAGTGGTTTTAAACAAAAGCAATCATTTCCCAGTGATGCTTTACGCAACTTCCTATATAGTATTCTTTTCTTCCTGAGATCTTGCTCATCTCTGTGTGCCCTGTAAGCAGTAAGTACAATGTGTCTATTTGTAACCAAATAAATAACTGAAAAACAGGGAAAATACAAGAGGATCAAACTGTTGTACCACACGTCTTAATCAACCATGTCAATGCATTCCTCCATTCCAAATGCATCCTGTCTTCAAGTTCTGTCCCACCTCATTTTCTTGCTCTACAACATCTTTCCTCTTACAAGGAAAGAAACAGAAAAAAAATCAGTAATTCTTTTCCTTGTAAAATGTTATATATGTTTCAGTGAGCGCTAGAAAAATCGTAGTATCAAAGAAAAATAAATCAGTAAAAGCTTTTTTTTTTTTCCCTAAAGGAGTTGTTTTAAAGCTAGCAACGTATTGAAAAAACTAAAAGGAGAATGTTTTTGAAACAGTTGACACCATCTGTTTAATAAAAGAAGTAGGAAAAAAATTGACTGTAGTTAGCATAAACATTGCTTAACTCAGCAGACCAGTAAGTAAATCAGAAAGCCTTCATATTTTAATCAAGTACAAATTGAATTACCTGGATTTTGCCAGAAGTGAAATAAACTGTCATGGAAATGTGTAACTACATTTGATAACTTACTTATGTGCATATTTAATTATTTCTCAACATCTCATAGGTACTCAGAAAATACTTAATCACAAGCCACATTCAGTTCCCAAAATTCTGTGGTGAAAGCCAAGTAAACACATTACAACTGGGCATCTGCTTCCCGAGACCAACACATGGCATTTATACGTTTTGCCAGTTCTGTTACTAACGCATCCAAACAGATGCCAAAGGAAATAATCCAAAGACTTTTCAGACAGCGGTAATGAATTGGCCTTATTCAGAAGTAAGGCATTAAATTCACCTCATGGATGACACCAACATAAAAACACGGTGCTAAGCTTTACAATACATAGGAGAGGTAAAAAGAAACGTTGAGGCAATAATGCAGATGCTCACGACTAGAAATAGCAGCCTCTTATCCACATTGTCAGCTGTTATCAACTTCTCTTGCCCAAGTGCAATAATCTGTGCTTTCAGTGACAAAACAGCTGGGTACCACCAGCATTCTCTAGGCAATCTGAATGCCAAACTCATTGGTGTTTCCTGTAAGGGCTGTTTTGATCTTCCAGATAATTTTGGTTTTGTTGTGGTAATAACCAAAATTTAACCACTGATCCAGCCAGATCTCTTTCTCAAACACATGCTCAGTGTTATCATGTCAGGTAAGATTCAGTATATGTAACAAAGACCTAAAATACCTGCAAAACAGGAAAACCTGCATGGCATAGTACACAGCACGCCCTAGTAGTACAATACAGGCACATCCTTGTTGATCTGTAGTCCTCCCACATCCAAAATCAGATTGCAATAAGGCTTGTGTAACTCACTGTGCTGGAGACTACAGTTCAGTGTATGTCACACAAAACTGGTCTACGTTCACCAGGCCCAGCACTTAATTGATGTGTTTAAGCAAAGACAGTGGCTGTACTGGGCCAGTAGCATCACCATTCTCAGGATGCCAAAATCCAGGAAAACATTCTTTGTTCAAGCTCAGCACTGTGGCAATGTTTCTGAACCTCAGCCCTGAAAGCAGCTTATGTGACACTGCACCTAAGCTAATCAACCACATCAGCTAATAAATTAGCTAATATGGCTTGCAGTCTGACTTACCCACCAAACTAACCAGATAAAGCACCAGATAAAGGGAGGAGGGGAAAAAAGTCATTAGACTGTAGTTTTATTTTAATCTTTCAGATTTCATGCCTGATCAGCTTGGTCATGGCTAATAGCTCCTGCAGCCTTTTGTTCCTAGTCCTAAGGATATCAAGACAGTCCTCCTAATATAAAGCAACTATATGGAATTCATCTACTGCATCAGTGTTGCACCCATTTCACAAATTCGTTCTATTATGAATAAGGCACAGCATTTTTCTTGAACAACTAATATAGATGTGGAAAGTCTACATCAGTATGCTCAGAACTGTAAGGGATGACATCACCTGCATGTAGAAGGTAGTAATCCCCGATGAAACTGCCCCTATGTGAAACTCAGCCGACTGTGCTGACCCAATGGTATGATTCTATCTGCTTCAAGCCTGTAACTGAATGCTTATCAAAGCAAACAAAAAAACAACTTTCATTCTAAGTCTAGGCATAGTCATTTGACCTGACCTACAGAAATAAAGGGGTAATAAAAAAGCCTATCCATCAAAAGGCCACTAAAGTCCATCTGGAGGCGACTGCCTCTTTTCAGAAAGAGCAGGGTTCAGTATTACTGCTAGTCAGGCACGGACAAGTAGGTGGGAGAAGCCTCAGAGATCAGTTTTATTAACGTGTGAACAAAGATTAGCCTCCACATCATCCCACCGCATTCCCACAGTCCAGACATCGTCTGTCTTTTTTTTATTATTATTATTTTTATTTTGGACAGATTTTCCATCTGAAATAATCATACTGAAATTGTCAGAAATTCTACAGGTTAATAATGTGACATGGAAGGAAAGAGGTCGGAAAAAAAGGGAGAAAACATCTGAAATCATGACTATTTGACAGCTGGATGTCACTGAATGTTGTGCAAAAGCATAACTTCAAGCATCTCTTTCCATTTCATTGAATTTTTTTTTAAATAAGTGCCAGATAATAAATGAGAACAGCCTAAACTAAAACAAGTTTAAACAAATAAATACTGTGTTTTAATTCTAAAGGAGCCTCTATGGAAAAACAGAAATAGAGGCATTTTATTGCAGTGCTTCTTTCAATGATTCCATAATAACCTCGCAAGAGGAGATTCTTTATCTTTAAAAGAGATGCAGAAGATTTGAAAAAAATACAACGTGTGTTCAAACTTGGCTTCTGACTCCTGGTGTTTTATGCAGATGCCACCAATACAGAAGCACAGTAAGTCATGTACATTCCACCAACCGAGCTTAGCACAACTCTTGAGAGAATCTCAAAGACAGGAATGCAGGATGCATAATGCTGCAGTCCTGATTGATAACTAAGAAGTTAGTTATAAATAAATCTGGAACAGTTGGGATTGACTGTTGTTTAGCACTTTCAGACAGACATTCAGGGCAACTGGCAGGGGCTTTGAAAGCCGTTTCCTATATTAGAATCATGACAAAAATAGAAGCGAGCCTGCATTCCCTTGTCTTCTGCTAAAATAGATCTTACTCAAAAACATTTTCACAGGTTTGTTGAGGCATAACTAGTCCAGTGTCAGATACAGAACAAACTCAACAATAATTGGAAGTCCCATGTTGATCTGCCTTAAATAGTTACTGAATTAATGAGAACTAAAACTATAGCAGAAGGACCAAGAGATATTAGGGACAAGGAGAAACTTGTTTTATTAGTGTTCTTTAAACTTTTCAGTGAAAGTGCAAAAAAAAAAAAGCGTATTTTACTAACTGTTCTTAAGAACATGTGCTTTATTTATGTATTTATTAATTCAGAAACAGATGCTGCATAAAAACTCCTGACAGCAAGGCTGAGTTGTGAGAATGGGACAGGAAAGACAGAGCATGGATGTTTTGTTGTTCTGTCTTAAAGCAAGCGCCCCAAATGCTGTTTACAGAACAAGCATTTGTCACAGAGCTATCTTCTCCCCAGCACTCAAGATTCCACAGAATCAGAAATATGTTCATTACTTGTCTGTTACAGTCAAAATGTATCTATGGAAATGTTGCAAGATTAGCTAGTTCAGTGACTGAGTAGTCCGCTCTTCTGCCAAAATAATCAGTGGCCTTAATGAGCAATTACAAACTTTGAGATCCAGTGAGAGTAGAAAATCCTAATGTATAGATCAGAAATTTTGTCCTAATTTTACTCTGCAGTTTTAGATCATGCATGAACTCCCAAACTATATGCAAGAGGCAAGTGTGACTGAGCATAGATTATATGGTATTAAAAAAAAAAATCACAGAAGAATATACAGTACAGAGCAATTGAGTTTAACCAAGCAACTCTCCCAGCCAGTTTTTCCATAAACCCTAAATAAGTCGGCATAGTATTTTGCTGATGGGTGTGAAACAGCCCCACCTGCTTAACTCTAAGCCACTCTGAAACAAATCAGTTCTGGCCTAGAAGCTCTGTGATCATGGTGCCTGACACCTGCCCAAGCTGAAGACTCAATCTCTTAGCAGAATTCATTGCTGTAGCTCAGCAGCAGCAAACTCTGCTGCAAACCTTTTGTATCTCTGAGCAGGATCACAGCTTCCTGGGTCAGCACACACACAAAGTAAGCTCATGCATCTTTGCAAAATACTGTGCATGCAGTTTACCAATGACTTCTGGCCATGAAAAATCATATTCTATTATTCTTATGATTTCAACAATAAACAAACCACAACAGAATTAAGAAAAGGAAATTGCAAAACTTTTCTTCTAAACTAAGCCTAGCATAAATTAAACACTGAATTAAGGACTCCGTGCTTGCTGAAATACAACAAGGCTACATTTCATTCACTGAATCATTCTTTTTTTCCATCGTCGTAACTGCTGAAAATACACTTGTTGAAAGAGCAAATTCATCACTGATAATCAAGTTCTTTCTTTTTAATAGACTGCCATATTGTAGACACAATTTCCTTTTACCAGAACAGCCTGCATAAATATATTTTAAGCTAATTACCTTTAGGTGGAAAATATGACTTGCTTTCAGCTTTGTGAGGCCAGTCCACCACAAGAGGTCCAAACCTACGAAAGCTGGCAGTGATCTCATCTACAAAAAACAAATGAGGCACCTTAGAGAAAGACTGAAGACTGACAGTGGCAAAGTAAGCAGTTGTATTTTAAAAGCCTATTTTCTGTACCTATCAAGAACAACAAAAACTGCAATACTGTGCATTGATAATGCTTAAATGTTCTTTCAGTTCTGCAATATATGTGGCTGCTTAGAAAAGGAATTTTGCATTCCACTAATACAAGTTTGCAGCAGGATTAAATGCAGACATGATCTATCAAAAGTGAATATGCTTCAGCTGTGGTCTGTGTCTAATTATAGCCACAATGCAGGGTCAGATGCTGCCACATGGGGACTGATGGAGAAGCTACGTGTCTGCATGGCCACTCCTTGTAGCATGATCTAGAAAGCAGGTTGCATCAGGCCATGTGTCTGTGGGGAGTTCACCTCCACGGCCCCCCTTGGAAAATCTGCCCTGAATCATCACATTATTTTTATTTTATTCTTTTTAAGTATCAGTTTAAAAACACCAGAAAGCAAACATCTGAAACTATCCCTGAAGCTATCCTATAGAACAATTTTATTAAAGAAAATTCTTTTTTTTCCCTCAAATTTGTTTAAGTTTTTAAAATATATATGACTTTTCAATGCATTTATGCATTTTAAAGAAAGTACTAATTTAGAGTTATATCTAATGCAATACTAAATAGATCAGACCAACAACTCATGTTAAATTTTTCAAGCAACAAGAGCCACAGAACACACAAATCAGAAGCTGAAGGAAGATGATGTTACTAGAGTCAATCTCTCATGTATGAGGGTAATAACTCCCAAGCAGCCATGTTTCTTACTTCCTCTCAGGACAGGTTGGGCATTTATTTCAACTTTGAAGTGTCTCGGCAGTGGTCACATCACTTGTATCTGCTAGCCTGCTGCTGCTTGCATTTGGGGACTCAGATGATCCAGCTGTCCCCGTACCAACAACTCTGCAACTGGTGATGCGATGTGGGAACTGTATTTGAGCTGTTTGTGAACCATTCATTGGCAATCCAGCTTATTTTTATTTCTTTTAACTGAAATTGCACCACAGTTTATTCTTTAGATTTAGTAGACTATGAGATTCAAAGATTCCTCCCTTTAGGCATCCTTGAATGTCCTGTACATGCCAACTGAAGCTACATAGTGATGGATTCCTGCTACAGTATGAGAAATACACCCCAAATTGTAATGTTTTGGTTTGAGTCTGAATGCGTGTGTGTACATGCACACAGAGCTAATATGGACTGAGAAAAAAACTGACCATCCCTACTAAGCTGGTTACTGTTGCAACTATATTAAATGGTCTACTTCTGTGAATTGAACACTACATATATGTTGGATAGGAACCCAATTTATTTTGATAAGTATTGCATAATGAAGTCCATAAATCAATAACTTCTATTAACAAGGGAAATTCTGCAGAGGATTGACAGTACCCACTGTTTTTCCTTTTTCCAGCTCTCCAATTTTACATGCGTGGGAACACATGCTGCTAGTGCAGATTAAAAGACCTTCTATGCAGTCATTTCTGTCTTCATCTCTAATCTGCAGTGCAAAAGAGTATCATGGAAATTCTCAGGTGTTGTGGGGCAAAGTGAGGAGGATGTTTTAAATAACACCACAAGCGCTACAAGTGATATACCTGGAAAAATACATTTGTTTCCATGATAAAATGTCTTCTTCTAAGTAACTATATGAAAGCCAATTCCCATATCTCACCAATGTAACTTATTCACAGTACCTTCATCGATGTCAGGAGGAAGACCTCCAACAAACACCTTTCTAGAATAGCGTTCCACTCTTTCACCATTCTGACAGCGTGTTGGAGAGCTGAGACCCGATGATAAAGACTGATCACCGTGACTGTCGTCTAGGAAGCCATCTTCAAAAGGAAAGAGTGAAGACCGACCTGTAACAGATTTTGTAGTATCTATAGTTAAAGCTATTTCCCGGACAATTAAATATTTCAGTAATAACTTGCAATTTCCTTTTCTGAAACACTGTTTTGCTTCTAAGAGAATTTCTATTGAGAAGTCTAGCTAAGCAATCAGTTGTTCAGATGATACTCATTTGGATCACTTCTATTTTTTCAAATCTGTAACTATGTTACTCTTAGAAGACAATAAACTTAATTTACTTTAAAGCAGAAACTCTTGTGAATGGCTAAGCAAATGGAAACCAGCAAGTTGTCTGCAGAAACTGTCATAGCTGCAGAAAGAACCTTTGAACAGTTCAAACCAATCCTTATTGATTTAAAAACTTTCATAGCAGATCTCAAAGAAATGATTTAAAAATGCAGATCACTCGAGCCATGGCGTTGCAGGGCAGGATGGCCTCCTTCAGAATGCTTAACCTCAAGAGCTGCATTGCTTCCTATTTGAGTGAGTGGAGGCACAGTCTGAGCAGGGGGCAAACAGCTAAATAAACACAGGAAGGCTCTGAGTAGTGGATGTTAAGCCCATAGATGAAGCAAACAGCTAACAAGATAAATATCTTTAAACGACTTATTAAATAAAACACAATCACTTGCACTCAAAAAAAAAAGTTGTTAGCTACATCAGTGTCAAAATATTACTCAGTATTAAAATACACTTTCAGTAAATGAATGAACAGAAATTAACATAAATGACTGCTATTCAGTTATTTGATGGAAAAGTGAGTTATTGTGATCACCTGATTCAAATAATTTGTTGCTATTATTACCAAAGTATACACACCTTATCTTAAGAACAGATTTATTAATCCAGAAAATTGAAGATATGCAAAATATATAAAAGCTGTACATGAGCAGCACAGCAGAACATGGTAGCTTTAGAGTTTAATTTCCTATACTTGAGTTGAAAAATAAATCCTGTAAAGTGGAAAGATGTATAAATGGGAACCTCATCTCAACTCTGAAGAAACTACTTGTCCCCTCATTTCATGTCGATTGCTCCGAGGGACAAAATTAAGATTAATTGATACAAACAGTTTATAGAGGGGTTAATTATAAATATAAATAGCCGGAAAAATAAATTACATGGTAATTGATCACATGAAATTGATTTCCTGCAAGACCCAAAGAAGAGGAAGCTAGAAGTAAAGGGAGGAAAGACAGGGACAAGGAGGAAAACAAAGACACACAGACTGACACTAGTCAGAAAAAAAAATGTATGTACTGAAATGATCAGTAATAGAGCCTTGAACAGTAAAGGCTATGTTACAAAAAGAAGCAGCAAACCTACATGTATGGAACAAGATAAACAACCAACAGGAAAGATGTTCTGACTGACACAAAACATGAGCTTCAATTTTTACGTAGGAAGAACACATTGAAAGCAGAACGTTGGCAAAGAACACAAATGCAAAAATCCACAGAGGTAAAAATCCTACTGTGATTTAAGCACCAATATAGAAACAGGGCAAATGTCACAATCAGAGAAGGATTTAGAGATGCTACTCTTAAAGTCTAGCACAGCTGGCTGTCAGAAATGGCAGCTTTAGAGCATAAGCCAGAAAGGACTTGATAAATATTCTGGTAATGCATGGAGAGGTCATACAAATATATAAATATATGCACTTTAGCAGAAGAGCGAGCACATGAATGAGAGTAATAATAGGTAGAGGAAGTAAATATGTAAGAATATCAAATTATTTACAGACTAAATAATATTTTATTTCCCCCCACAAACATGCTTTCTTAAAAAAAGATGGAAGTTCACACATCAAATGAATCAATATTTAGCTGTTCAACTGAAATGCAGGTCCATTGAGGAGGCTGAATGAGAGCTGATTTTTGATGGAAATCCAACAAAATGCATAGTGGCTTAAAAAGCAAGATGCCTCCTCTGATGGTCAGATGCTTGACAGTTCACAGACACTATACTCAGATTAAGTGAATACAAGAGATGATGACCTAAAGCTTTATAGTGAAGTATACAGGTAAGTGTATAAAGCAAATATTTAATATAACAGAAGGCACAGAGAAAATGGAAGGAGGGAACAATTACTCACTGTTTCTTCCAAGTGAGGGGAAACAAAGTACGTTAAACACAAGACTCGAAGAAAGCCAAACTATGGAACCCATTCCCACAGGCTTTTTAGGATGCTAAAAAGTTCCCATCATTTCTGAAAGAGGGAATGAGCAAGAACAGTAGAAAAACCCATCTTGGAGCATTAGCTATTGAAACATCACATCAGAAAACACCCAGGGCAAATCTCTTTAGAGTATCATGGGAAAGCATTACTAAGTGCCCTGTTTTTATTTTTATGCACCTGCAGCCCTTCCCTGGCACCTCTGAGTTGTCAAGGCAAGAGGAAAGACTTTCAGTAGCTACTCTTACACCCATAGCTGGAAAAAATAAAACAAAATTTGAAAACCAGATACAGATCTTGTTTTCAGGATACACAACTCAGCAACCTGAAGTGTGATTTCTATTAAAAAAAAAAAAAAAAAAAGCTCAGCTTAATTCACAAAGGAAACAAAGGATCAAGTAGAAAGCTGATAGGTTGCACCAACCCCCCAGTATATTTCTGACAACACCCTTCCCACTGAAGATGCTTAGTCACAGTGACAGAGTGAAAGACTAATTAGAAGACTCCAGTGTAATAAACATGAAATGAGACCCTGCACAGACTTGCCTCTGAGTTCTCCGCATATTACTACCACAATGCAAATGGTAAAAGCAATAAATATGAGAACATTTGATTAACAACACATCTTTTTTTAAGTAGACAACTGTAGAATTGCGTGGTTCTTCAGGTTAAGAAAGCTCAAAACATTATGCAATTCAATATACTGAAAAAGCAGGGATATCACAGAGGTTAATATTGTATGAGTAGGGCATGTCACAAAATCCCTAACACTGATGACAAGAGACGCACACACACACCTACTAGTTACCATAGAAAAGACAAATTCACATAGGTAACAATTGTTATGGAGGGAAGCATGCATTTTAGTAGAGTAAAACAATCCTGAAAGTCCAGTGCATCCAGAACCTGTTTGCCTTGTTTTGTCATCACCACAATTTCTACAAAGAAGCCTACACTGAATTTTACAGCCTATCTTGTACACATCACGAATACAAATGCCACATCACTTACATTTTACTCCTACAAGTCAACACAAGTTACTGGAAGTTAGTAGTGCCCAAATGATTTCCACCTCCCTTCCTACTTTGCTGCCATTTAATCAATCTAGAGACACTCAGCACCATCCTATGTTCACATGCATACGGAGCTTATGATATTTTACATTTCAAGTACCATGAGAGCACCAAAGAGAAATATTAACGTGCTTTAGACACCAGTTAACAATAGACTGTTCTCTGGAAGTAGGGAAAAATAGCAAGGTAAGTTCGTGGATAAAATCTAAGTTTTAAAAATACAATTCTCTGTTTACCTTTACCTATAAATTAAAAGCTAAACACCATCAGCTTTGAATCAAATCAGCTCAAATTTTATGTTAGAAACAGTATCAGTACAGCCTACTATTTTAACCACACAAGTGCAAACTACAAATTACTTAGAGACTATTGGGTAGCTTGTATGACTAGGTTTGTCTCCAAATTCTACACTATGAAAAGGAGGAGGCCTTCCAAGCAACGTCACATTAATGGCTGCCACAGAACATACATTAAAAAAAAAGAGATCAAATGAAATGTAATGCCAAAGTACCCCAAACAGATGGCACTGTCCAATTCTAACTGTTAAATGCCACAATCTTCACTATTATTTTCTCAGTTAAAAAGTCAGTGTCAACTACAGCACAGTATATTAGAAAAATCTTTTTTGGTAACCAGCATGTTTCCTTTTGTCTACATTCATTAATCTCTCAGAATAAACATAAGCACAGCACTATACAACACCTGTATAATGCTTTCAGTGTATTTTATACTTTTGTAAAAGTTGTTTAAGTGATGAAATACAGTTAAAACATCCTCAAATGTGTTTTTTGGTTTTTGATTATCACCACTGAGGACAGTTATTAACATTGGTATTCACAAAGTTCTACCCAGGGTAATCTGATGCAGTTCCCAAGTGCAATCTTCAACAAAAGAAGTTTCATCCAAGAAAAAAACCTATGCTTGAGGTAATTCAATAAGTTTGCTAAACATTAAACTTCTACAAAAAACATTTGAAAACAATCTTCATTTCTGGAACACCACACATTTAAAATCACAAATATGTGTCATGAAAAAGAATCTTAACATTTACCCATTCTCCAGTTCAGTAGTAACAGCAACATACTGAGTTACCTGCTCAAATCACCACTGCTTTAAGTTGTTATAAAAAGGGAGATGTTTTGTAAATGAAGAATATAAGATTGATTTATAAGAAGCAACTGATCAACCAAATACTGTTAAATTGGTAACATCATCTTAACATAAGAGAACTAAATATTTATATCTCCCACTATTCAGCAAACAAAACATTTAGTAAATACTTTTACCTCTTCTCCGCCCATAGCTCCTGGCTGCATGTAAACACAGAAGAAAATTGTCGGTACAGCTGTCATTACATTTAGCTCCAAAAGCAAAGAAAACGTAGCTTCTAAGTCTTCTTTTCCCCTCCCACCACAAAGAAGGAAAAGGCATTGAAAAGTGTGCAAAATGAAATTCAAGCAACCCAAGACAAGAGAAAAAGTTTGAAGATGACACAGCCAGGGAAAAAAAAACAAACAAAAAACCCCCATACCTGCTGTGCAAGTTTTCTACACGTCAAGATTAATTAAAAAAAAAAAAAAAATCAGGCACATAAGACTTACAGTACTACAGATGATTAATTTAGGATTATGCTTTTAAGAAGTAATAAACATCATCGACAGTAATCCTAATTAAAATAATTCATTTTGCATTTCATTAATTAGCTTGTGGACAACGTTTTCCAATTATGTTTCAAGTTAAATAATTAGCCATCTGCAAATAC